TTGTCAGATTGTATTTAAGGGTCATTGTTATGATTTGTCAAATGAAGTTAAAAAAAACGGGTGTTTTCTTATGTAACGAAATAAAGATAAACACGAAATTAACACCATGAAGCACTAGCTTCATGGTGTTAATTTCGGTTTATCTTTCTTCAAACCTACTAAGGTTACCTGAAGTAAGCCGTTGATCAATAATAAGTCAAAAGCCGTTTTTATACATTATTATTATTTGACACATAACAAATGGAAGATTTATCGACTTACTTCATGTCGGCTTATTTAACTTGTCGCTTGTTTTGTAGTCTGTGCGGACGCATCGTAAAGATTCACTCTTAAATTTCCTCTTACGCGACGAAAGAAATTTAATTTCAAGACTTTTCTACGATTTCAATTAGAAAAGGCTATATATATAGGAATAAGCGGTTAATGATAAAGTGCATTAAATAAAACTTACTTTCATAATATAAAAACCATGGCTTAATTGCCTACTGAAAGTGATTTATGCTGATTACATCCGAGTGTTGTTTCAAACTCGACAAGAATGTTATTTCTAATAAAACTTATCGCTAGTTTTTATCCAACGACGGCAACGGTAGACCGGAAATTTGATGTAGTGCGTAAATCGCTTTCATGAATAAAAAAGTAAACATTGTGACGACTGCTTATCTTTTTTAAGCAATTTTACCACCAATACACATGATTAGTACTTTGAAAAGAGCATTAGAAAGATTGCCAGTAGATGGCACCAGACGGAAAAAGTTAAAAAAAATTGGCAAAGGTTTGAACTACTATACGCATGTTTTACATTAAAATTTGGCAAAGGCTTTATTAACTACTTCGTTCTGTGATTTGTTTGTATACGTATATTTAGTGACGAAAAGCATCTTTAAAAAGATATACCAATCATTAATTTTAATTTGGTTCGATCGAATGAGAAGTTTGATGACTGTCGTCAAGGCACAGTTGCCAAGGTATTGACTTGGGAGTCGGGGGTCGTGGACTCGATTCCCACAAGGGAGAAATCGTCTGTGGGTCTTACAAACGACCCATAGATAATTCGGATCCGAGTGGATGTTAAAAAAAGTACATCATAACTACGGAGAAAAAATTATTTAAAAAAGGAAGTGTAAAGTTTTCATCTGTTTTTTTTTAAAACATTGCCCTTACTTTATGATAACATTATCCTGTGTTGTAGGGACGTTTTTACAAACATAAACTTCACGCGGAAAAACACCCAGATGCGAAACAACTACCTGTGGGTCACACAAATAGTTGTCCCGTGTGGGAATCGAACCCACGACCCCCGACGCCGAAGCCAATACCTTGGCAACTGTGCCACGGAGTTTATCTTCCCGGCGGTACGTTTGGTATTCGAGAGCCGAATGAGGTGATTTCAAATGTGCGTACGCGTGTGAATGAGGTGATTTCAAATGTGCGTATGCGTGTGTGTCACGCTCGACGCGGCCGTAACAGACCCCGAACACGCCTACTTGTGCGTACGCTTGTGTGTCACGCTCGATGTGGTCGAACACGGTTACTCTTACGTGTTTTTACTGCTTACCGCGTGTCGTTCGAATCCGAACAGCGTGCGACCGGGATGCCGAACCCTGAATACGGAACGGCGACCGTTAGGGCAGGTGTTGTGTTTGAACCGCCGTTGTGTTGTCAAACATCGTCGGCCGTGAATTTTTATGAGACTCTAAAGAGGTTTCATTTATCATGTTCCGACTCCCGTGTGCCTACACCGCGCTAGTACATGTAATTATAATAATAATAATAATTTATTATATTCATTTAATATATGTAATGTATATCTATAGGTTTGTTTTATTTATAAGCCCAACTAGACGAGAAAACAAATAAATCTCATAAATAATACTAATAATAATAATAGATCTTTATTGGTCTTAAATCACAAATAACGTACAAGTATGAAGAAGAGAGTACTCAGTTACTTATTTTTGTCTGTATAGCCAGCAAATAAGGAACGTTTTATGAACTTTATTCGGTTAATAATCGGCTTTCGTATGTTTGTTTTTGGAATAAAATGTGCATACGGGAATGGTTTCTTAATTTTAGAGTTCTGATGGAGTCGCTGGGGACTGTATCAATTTTTTACCTATTAAATATATTTATTGATTCTCTTTGTTGTGTTTGACAAAAATATGAGGACACGCTAATTTATCATGCGTTGGAAGGCAAAGCCGCGTTCCCACATTGCGCGCCCTAGAAAAATTGCTGCTGACCGTAACACTTTGCAAGAATTACTTTAATGTTCCGTTCGATGGATTAAAAGTTAGGTCTAAATCAGAAAGAAAAGAGAAATGAGTTGTATTATCAAACCATCAGGGTTCCTTAGGCCTTATATAAGTAGATGAACAATATAATTTATATTAAGTTTTCCATATTTATATAATGGTAATCGATCACGGTTTTGTAGCAGCTTTGTCGACTTAATTGAGTCTCAACTTAGAAATATGTATTTACATTTTAGAACATTTTTATTTGTAATTAATACAGGTTATGTTACTCTGGCGTAATGTATCTTTGAATTAATAAAAGACAAATTGAAATCTATGTATGTATATAATTCTTCCGTTTTTTTTATTAAGTATTCTCTACCGTTGTCATTCAAACGAAACGTCTGATTCTCCTTTGGACAAATTCATGTCACAGCTATTGCCCTGTATGGATAGTTATTGATACAGGATCAGGATTAACTATATTCAGCACTTTTTCTTTAAAACAATTGATTAACCATTTGTAAATTTTAATTGACTATCGCGATCGTTTGTTTAATTTTTAAATGTACTGTGTACAAGCGATCTTCGGCCAAATTCTTCACATGGGGCCGGAAAAGGATCCAATCCAATAAAATGTACAACTCTCGGCTCAACCTACTTAGTAGTAAATATCGCTTCGAATATAGTGTATCATGGAAACAACAATCGATTCACATTGTGTCGCCAAACCGCTTAAAACGAATATCGACCTTATTACTAGTAGTCTAAGGCTCCGTCGTTCACATCTGCATACGTTTCCACCAATTTTCCTAGCTTAACGACTGACGTTTCAAATTACGTCATGCAGTCAAGCACATCGGAGAAAGTTCCATTGTGCTCTGCTATACCACCGCTGTTGGTGTAGGATGACCATGTTTGTTTATAAAACTTTTCCCCTCTCGCCTATAACTGGGATGCAAATAACGTAAACGTTAACTCGGCTATAACTTTTCGTGAATGCAAATGATAAACGTTTTGTTATACTTTTTTTTACATGTATATTATGCATGTTTTATGTTCGGAATCATGGTCTCGAATGACAAAACATCTATTTAGCTTCTATTAGTGAAAACCTGTGATTGGTTGACTTGTTATTGTCTTGCTTTCTTATTTATGTTGTGTAAGCTATTTGGTTTTCCATAAAATAAAAAAAATAAACTTTTAGTATTCATTTTGGTTTTAATTCCCGGCGTAACTATAGAACGTTCTAGGTCATCAGGTAGACTAATTAAAAATCATTTAAATTTTGTGAAATTAATCCAGGTAATCGCCGTTCATGTAAGATGACAATGTTTGTTTATCATATTTTTTCCTCTCGCCTATAACGTGTGTGCAAACAACATGAACTTTAAACTGAGCTTTTAGTTTTTATTATGTTTATAACTATACAACATATTTGGTCAAGGGACAGACTATCAATATAACTAAAAATGAATTAAATTTTGCAAAAACGTCGTTTCTTGTGTTACATAAGTACACAGTCTTTGAATAAATAGAATTATTTGCTATATACATGAGCGTTTTCCAACAGAAATATGTTTTATTAAATTAAATTTTTACTTTACATTACTATGCTCGTAAACAGTAATATATGTATATTATTCATATATGTATATAACTGTGCGTAAACATGGTACAGTGTAATGACATTATTCGGATCCTGGCGCAGAAAAAATGTCATGTGTCATATGTCAAGTGTCATGGCAAGTGTCCCAAGAAGTAATTTTAATTTTTTCTATGTAGTATTATCATATTAGCATTACTTCGATTTACGTCTTTACTTTTCAATTGTCGTATTAAAAGCCTTCGTTTAAAAGTTATTCTTTACAGTAAGTACGATGGGGAATAATTGAGCTATTTCATATCTAATTAAGGAACTTAAGCTTACATTTGCGTCTATACGAGCCGTCAGTGCTTTGACCGGAGATTTCACACCTCCCACATGCTTTTGTTTTCACTAAACATACAATCGGAATTCTTTCTTTTTGTTTGGTAATCAGGTTGTTATTTCTCCGGGTACATTTCATAACTTGTTTTTTTATTAATTAATTGCTATAGCAATAAATTAAATTACTTTTCATTTTGTTAGCAATTATTATAATTATATAAGTTAATATAAAGTTTAGAAACGGTGACAAAGAGGGAAAGCTAGGTATACAGCGTGTCGTTACCACCGCGACAATAAATGAACACACATATATAAGATAACTTTTTAAAATTGTATTAAACATTTACATTCTTTAAACATCAATATTTACCGAGTTATTAAATTTTCCAAAACAAACAATTTTAGAACAACGTATAAAACTGTAACGTAAAGTTCATTTGTAAAGGTCACAAAGCATATGAATGGGTTGAATGAATTTAAAAGAGACAAAACATACTGTTAGAAGGAGAGGCTTGTAATGCGACGCTGTGGCGCGAGTTGTATAGCATGTTACAAATGTTGTTTCTTTTTTACTTAATTAGTTTGTTTGAAAAATATTTTTTTTTAAATTATAGATTTTGTTTAACGTAAATATTTTTTTATGATTATTGGCAAGTAGCGTTAGACGTATGTTCATTTATTGTCGCGATGGTAACGACACGCTGTATAAGCAACTATATTATTTCATTTAATGCATACCTACGTATAACGGTCTCAGCACCTAATAAAGTGGACTAGTACAACACATGGCGCCATCTGTTGACAAATCGCTAAGTTGTTTTGTTTGTCCGTAGGTGACAGTGGCAGCACTCATGCCTTGTACCTCGAAACTATAGTCGAGGAGACGAGCGATGACTTGCGCTCTGAACGATCTTCAGCTGCAACATGGCTTTCAGATTCAGATGCAGATTCCGTTATACATGTGCGTGGAGTTGGAGGTAAGAATTATGTTGCACTTCAACCAAACATTGATATGATAGCGCCATCTATTGTCACAAGTTGAATAATCTAAGTCATGCCGAGTACGTAAGGAGAGCCGTTTTCTTCGTATAAACTATAGATGTCGTTGTACGTTATTAAATTGGCACATGTTTTGAATATTTATATAAAATCAAAATCTAATTTGTATATCTAATAAAAATCTAAATATTTAGCATTCAATGGATGGCATCATATTTTTATCTTACAATGATTAAATATTTTACATATGGCAAAGGGCGACTTGCTTTATTCCCAAATCCTCTTGGAACATCTCCAAGTGATGCGGTACAAACACGCTGTGAAAAATTCGTGTCATTGTCATTACTGGACAGTATGGAGACGCGACGCGGCTGAGCCAGTGGGCCCGTGCGCGCGTGAAACGCTCTAGTGAAAAGTTTGAGTGGAAACATTGCCCTTAGGGTCGGAGTGCGACAGCGAGTCCGAAAGGGAGTGGGCGTGCCCCGCTAAGCGGCGGCGCCGGGAGCACGCCAACTCGCCCACGAGCACCGGCTCCCTCTCGCGCTCCTCCAGCCTAGCGCAGTTCGAGTCGTTGGAGCGCTCGTGCGCCGCGCCCGCCTCGCCCAGCCTGTCACCGGACTCGTTGGAGTCGCCGCCGGCGTCGCCCCCGCCCGTGCGCGCGCCCGCACCCCGCGCCCACCTCTCTGCCGAAAACCTAAGCGAGGACAGCGGCTACAGCGAGCGCGCGCGCCGCCCGCCCCCGCCGGCCAAGCGCGCCACCGAAATAGCACGCGGGCCCGCGGCGGCCGGCTCCGTGCCCTGCCTCGCGTCCGCCAGTGCCGCCCGGCGGCCGGCCCGCGCCGCCCGCGCCCTCTCGCTGCCCGCCGAGCTCGACGTGTGCGCCGAGCCGCGCCGCCACGCCGCACATCGCGCACGTTTCCGACAAGCGTTCGAGGTCTCTGACTGCCTCACCGTCAGCGTGGCCGACCTCACGGCGCTCGACTACCGCGGCGGGGCGCGGCGCCCGCGACTCCCGCCGCCCCCGCCGCCCCCGAGGGCGCCGCGCTACCCGCCCCCGCCGCCCCCCGCCGAACCCGTAGCCCGGCAACCACCAGCGCCCGCGCAACGGGAGCCCAGCGCCGACAGCGACTCCACGACCGAATCGGAGAGGGCTTTTGCCCGAGAAATGGAGTCCACCGTCAGACGGCTCGATGAAGACGCCATGCGAGCGCTCGCGGAGTCCGGTGACTTCGATCGGGGCCTGTCCGTACTGACCGCGAAAAGGTTGCGCGACTCATGGGGCGCGTGGGACGACGTACTCGACGAGCTGCGACGACGGATGGAGCCCCCCTCGGCGACGCCGTCGCCGCCGCGCACACCCTCCCCGGACCCCGTCAGGGAGCCCGCATTCTCGTCGACGCCGCTGCGGCCCTCGTGCGACGCGCGCGTCCGCTCCACGCCGGAGCTGAGGGCGCGCGCCACGCCGCACCGCGAGACCCCCGAGGAGCTGCGCGCCTCGCTGCAGTTGGTGGCGCCCCCGCCCCCCGGCGGAGCGCCCCCCGCGCGCTCCGTTTCCACCGGCTCCAAGGGCGTCACGTTCTCACCCGTCGTGGCCGAGGTGAGCTGGCGCGAGGCGAGCGCGAGCGGCGTCTCCTCCGACGGGTCGAGCGAGAGCGCGGCCACGAGCGCGAGCGACGACGCGGCCGACGCGGAGGTGGTAGTGGTCGCGGTGGAGGGGGCAGGCGAGGGAGCGCGCGCGCCGGCCCCGAGCTCAGAGCGCGCCGGCGACATGACGGAAGCGGGCGCGCGCGCGCCTCGCGGCCGCATAGCGGGCTTCCTGTCGCGCTTCGCGAACTTCCGCTTCTCGGGGCGCAAGGAGAAGAAACCTCGGGGCGCAGGCGCGGCGAACGGGCGGGTGGGCGGCGGTGGCGGCGGCGGCGGCTCTGCGGCAGACGCGGGGCAGGGAGCGCGCGCAGCGGCCGCCGGGGCGCAGTACGTGCGCATTCCGCTGAAGGAGGAGGGCGTGCCGCGTGCGGCGGCATCGCCCGCGGCGGGCGGCGTGGCGCACAAGCCGCCGCGGCCGCGCCCGCCGCCCGCGCCCGCGCCCGGCGTGCTGGAGACGGACGTGGACACGCAGCGCACCGTGCTGCACGCGCGCTCGCTGCTCGCCCTCGCGCCGCCCGACCAGCGGGCGCCCAGGCCCCACAAGTCCATGGAGTTCCTGCTCGACAAGGACAGCGCGCAGACCGTTCAGGTGAGTCCCCCCAACAAACCCTCCTTTTAACCAGGTGCAACGCTCGCAAACAGCCCGATTGATGCGGGCCCGGCCGCATTGCGACCCTCGCACACGCTCCGCAGTGCAACATCAATAATTCACCGCTAAGTTATTGTTGAAACACTCACCTATAACGTCGCTATCGAATCACGAGCCCGTCCATATAAATAAAAGGCGTACTAGCAAATTCGCAGTATCAAAACGAAACTAACGCGGCTTCTAACGAGGGTCCTCGCATTCTAAAAAGAACGCTTCAGGTTACGACATCACCATTTTCGCACGCGAGCCCCGAGGTGAAAGTGCGAGCAGCTGCTTATGGTCTAAACACGGTGCCTACGCCCGACGGTGGGCGGAATTGTTTATCAAACAGTCTACGTGCACGATTGGCACTCCGAAATCCTATCCCGGTTCGCTCGATAAGCCATTATCGTCCTTACGACTCTTGAAATACCACAGAATTCCCCGCGCACCAGACCCCGCAGTAACAACGTAAGCCAGACAGTGATTTATAAGCACACGGGACTTAATAGCTTTCAGATTAGATAACAAAGAGGAATTACTTCAGCGCTAAGGGGATATGCCACCCCAGATAGAACATTGAATGAAGCACAGTCATAAGCACAACCGACACTATCATAGTGTGGTGTTGCTATAATAACAAGAGACAAAATTAACAATGTGCCATTACGGGAAACTTGTTTTGACATTAAACCATTCTCATCACGTTCCCAGCACGCGTTTATAATCAAAAAAACTGCAAATCAAATTAATCAATTCCGTTTAAACTCTTCCACTAAATATTAATAAGGAGACGAGACAAGTAAGTAAGCAAATGTTCGTAATGTCTACTCGACCTCGGACTGGCATACACAACGACGCATCAAAATGTCAACTTTGTATCAAACATTCAATTGTTTGTCTGCTTGTAAACTATAGCTTATTCAAAGACAGCCAAGGTCCATTGAAGAAATCTCACGACCCTCCGTGGACTCGTTTCGAATGACATAATGCATTCGACTTTGACACTAAGGACAAAGCGAACAACAATCTGCAATTCAATACTGTGCTCTCACGATGCTGGTTAGAAAGAGACGGCAAGCTCCAGCCTTTTTATGCGCAAAGCTGGTTCACCTGGTGTTGCCACTTGAAAATATACCCATATGTCTCTGCAACACCCGTGGGATTGCTACCAGTATAACTTCACATAAATAAGTTGATCCCACCCAAGGAAGGATATTAACTATATATTATTTTATTATTCTAAAAAAACATTATGATTAATATTTTAATATGTTTTGATTAAAAAAAAATGACAATAAGAGGATATCTACGGAGTTTATTTTTCCTGTTGCTACTCCGTTAGAGGAACCTCAATACGAAACGGTGTTTGAATTAAAAAATTACTATCGGTAGATAAAATGTATGTTTCCAATTTCGATTAATAAATGATCTTATTGGCTGTAATTCGACAACAATTACGACCGAAACGTAATCAGCGATAATCGCACCTTCGAAGAATCTAAAACCGAGAAACCCATAACAGTACAATAGGCGGAATTGAACGGGTAACCGCTGCAGGCATTCATTATGCTGCCAGTACCAATCCAGCAACATTTGAATGATAAACAGCAACGCACTACTAACCCCATTTCGGACACGTATACGAAGCTATTATTGAAGCAAACATCGACTTAGCGGTGCTTATGAGGTCGGCACACGTCTTAAAGGCTTCGTGTCCGACATTCCAGAGCCGTCTGCTTCTATCCGGTTCCATTAGGGAAATGTGGTTACGTAAACGATTATGTAAAGAAAACGTTATGTGGAACGACGGTTCACGCGCGCGAAACCCCTTCGAGGGGACAATTGTTTACGTTTACTACAACACTAGCCCAGAATCGAACCAAACCTAATGTGTAATGAAATGTAGGAAGAAATCTTCCTATACTTTATGCGTTAAACTCGATAGCAACGGAATATAGCTAGAATTATTCACTTGCTATTTCTTTATCTTAACAAAATAAATAACCTTGCCTGAAATAAATAGTCTTGTCGCTTATATTTATTATACTGTACGGATATATGACCACGTTATTATATTAAGAAAAAAAAAAAATTACGGTACTAAACTCAGCTATGTACGCAGACTTTAATATGGATGTAATCCCGGCCTTTTCTACCTCACAACCATTTCCGAAGCAATTTTTTTGCAGGGGTGAGTTACTTCTAATTGATATGCCAAAAATAAGTATTTCGACGTCATAACAGATAAGTTTTGAGCAAGTCATCTCATTCATAATCATTTTTTCGCTTCCTATGCCCAATGACCCGTACACTCAACTCGATTAAGAAACCGCGACCTCATTTTTGTGTTTTTAAGTTTTTATACGAAATGTTATGCACCTACATGCAATAATATCCTCTTCCTAATTGGTGATGTAATAAATTAAATACTTAACAAATCCAGTTATGTTGAAATGGTTGTCAACCTAACCGTCATAATTTTTAATTCACAATGTAATCAACGCAGACAAAAGAGCTGGCCACGTCCAAAGTTCACGAGCGCTAATGGAATATTAAAGACTATCGTAACAGAATACCGCATTATATGTCCATATGTCTACTATATTGTGTACTCCAGGAATAACTTGTCCGCTGGTAACGCAATATCGCTTTAATCGTATTTGATGGCGGCGTATTTGGAACGGGGGCTACCGATACGGAAGCAAATTATCCCCATTTAAATTCGTCTCTCAACGCGTAAACATAGGCTACTGCGCAACTGAGAGTTAATGTGGACTTTTTATTGACCGACCGTTCTTCTGAACCTTTAGATTTATTAGAAGCGAACAAATGCACACGAGCCGTTGATCCGAATAGACGTATTTATAGCTTTTTAAGATTCATAAATTCCGGTCGCTTCAAATCTAATTGAATTTCAAAAAGGCAGTTTATTGAAAATTGAACATCGATTTTTATACATTACTGAGAAAAGTTCACTCCATAAAGTATAAAAAAGAAATCAGTTGCATATTACCTAAAACTGAAGAGTATTAACTAGTATAATATAAATATACTATTTACATAAGTAATTGAATAAAGCTCTGTTATATTAATTATTTTAATTTTTTTATTTTTTTTATTTTTTATAAAATATTGCCCTTACTTTAGGATAACTTTATAATGTGTTGTAAGGACATTTTACAAACATAAATTTCACGCGGACGAACACCCAGATCTGTGACCCACAGCTATCTGTGGGTCACAGAAATAGTTGTCCCTTGTGGGGATCGAACCCACGACCCCCGACGCCGAAGCCAATACCTTGACAACTGGACCACGGAGTCATTAAAGTTCAAATGTATGAAATCATAATATTTCTTGTAATTCTATACAAAGTTCGTACATCAAAACCACAATACAACCCACAAGACGCAAATGTTACCTGTTAATGTATTATTTATTACACCGTACTTGTCTATGCCTGTACCATAATCGTGCTAACAGCTGGCTGTTTTCTTTCTCACTCTCACTTACTGAAAACGCGCAATGTCTCTCAATGTGTGCAACATAGATGGGTCAACAATAGGATGGTAGTTAGACAAACAACTACAACCGGTTAAAGTAAATCGTGTTAAATACGACCTTGCTTCGAGAATTCTATTCACGAGAAAATACTACGCAATGCGCATTCATGTGACACTCGTGACAGATTAATAATTTTCCCGCATTTTCGTTTAAAATACATCAGATGTTGAATCACTATTGAATCGAGTTTATTCTTCAGAATCATTTTATTTTTAGTTCGTCCTTATGGATTTTAGTTATATTTATTGATGTTACTGATTTCAGGACTGCTTAATATCAAAGTATGTAATTAAACGTTTATAAATTTACAAAAAGATGTGATCTACTTAGAAACAAACTGTTGTTGTGCGGTTTATAAAATGAAATTCTTATATTTTTATTTTTTTTGCCGAAAATCTAGATTACGTCTGAGACATTGTCACGATGTAATGATACAGTACGTTAATTGACAAGCACAAGTAACACATTCAAACAAATTCAAGTCTCTTACTGTCGAAGTCATATCTACATACCTTCTTATTTCAACACGTATTAAAGCGTAAATTGGAGGTTCCCAGTAAATACTTTTTTTTAAACCAATACTCTTGAAGAGACTGTTGTAAGGTTTCAGATATTGCACCCAAATCTAGAACAATCAGAAATCACAATATTATCCACTGATAAATTTTCAATCTTTAAATATGACGAGGCGACTGACACGTTGGGAAATGCTAACTCAATCTCAAATCAAAGTTGTAGTTTTGACAGCTTGCTTAGGTGTGAACGTAAAAATTAATTTCGTATAAAAAATCAATTTCGTTATATTTCATGCATAAGCAACAAACGTCCGTCACCGTAAGGATGTATTGTCGTCATTCAAGATCCGATTTCTAGCATATCCTAAATCAAGTTTAATTAATGAGTACAGCGTTCGAGCGATAATACAATGCAAGATAATAGCAATTCGACCTCATTGGGTTTGGTTTGATTTTTTTTATTTGATTGTTAGGTACTCGTGCATTTCACATTTCAACGTCGTCAAAGAGCTTCTTTCTAAAAATTCTAAAAATACAGTCGTAAATGATGTAAAAGAGAAAAAAAACAATACGATCGTAAAAATTAAAAGCTTTAGAAGCATAGCTATCATATTTTCATAGCTACAGGCGTTTATACAGACTAAGAGTTTACGATGAAAATGTGACTCATGCACTTACTTGCGCAATTCGACTTGTATTACGTACAGTCGTGTGCAATATGTTAAACTGTATCACAGAGCGCTTACATGATTTACCATTTAATCTAAGGTCCCCGCTCCTGATTCCACAATTTTGGTTTCCGTAATGGTACTGGTGCGTGTACATTTAGTTACGCTTTGCGACCGGTCCGTAAAAAGCCTGATGTTTTTCTAACAGACTTAAATTTTGACAAGCAAGGGCAATGGTGGAAGGCTGTATGATAATACAATACAATAAAAGTTAAGATTATGTCTTAAACTGTGTGTGTAGAATTAAAAAAAAAACGTTAAAAGCGATCGTACGCAATTGTAACCGACAGAGTGATTCAAACCATTCCGACGATACGCAGACCTTGCACCCTAAATTGATATCATTCAATTTTGAAGCACAAATTATTCTATTTACTCGGCTCCCTCCCCACTTATCCCATTGTGCTTTCATGGTCCCAAGAGATGTGACGATGTTATTGTATTGTCATTGGTAATAATTTGTTCACAAAAAATGTGTCCTCACACGTATTACTCTGTGTACGATTCGACAGTAAGAGATTAGGACATAGCAAAAGTGAACTCAAACACTTTATGAATACCAATAGAATATAAATCATTATACAATTACTTGTAGGTATAATTGAGTACTCATATACAATGTATTTGTTTGTTGAGACGGTATATGTCCACTAG